TTGGGGGTGAATTGGGGATTGGGATTGGCGTCTGGCATCTGGGCTTTCAGACCGCCCGACCTCACGACCCCTGACCACCCTGACGTATGCCCACTTGGCAACAGTGCTGGGGGGTTCTGGCACTATCACGTGGGAGCATCGTTGGGATAAGCTTTCGTCCGTTGATTGAAGTCGTCTAATTCCTCTATGTTTTCGGCAGCCAAGGGATTTTCTGTTCTTCCCGTGCGCTTGTTTTGTTTCTGGGATCAATCACTGACCTGTTATTCTTACATGTTGAAGACGAGAATTACGCTCGGCAGACTATGTTCTTCAAGCTTACTTGGGTAGAGATTCAAATATCTACTCGCTTCTGTCATCCTCTCTGACACCCTCGATGAATGGCCAAAACGTCTCTTCAAAGGCCGTCTCACTTGGCTGCATTTCATGCTTTCGCTCATTCATGGGAACTTTGTTTCACTCATGCCACATACACAATTCCTGCTTGAACATATCACAGTCGCTAATCACAAGGAGCTGTCAGGCTAGGGTACCCTGATCACATGTTCGAGCTAGGAACGTAGTCATGCCGCATAAATTCTGCCATGAGTCTAGAGTGGTGGTCATCCCAGCTACCGGGTGATCTCGTGACGGAGGCCTCGCCCGCAGGATCCGATCACAGCTTTTGCCGACGCAAGCGCGGACTCGGGCGGATAAAAGTTGCGGGCGGGCAACTTCATCAGAGTGACTTACGGTGCGAGTAAGGACTCGATGGCCAATCTTCGTAATCGCGACGTGCCACCGAGGCCTCCAACGGCATAATTGACGATAAGTGAGTGTGCTTGGCTATCTCATGCTCTTCATGCTAGCTCGAGTAAGTCGATATCTTACACGGCTGCGGAAGCGGTCCGGCGGGACGATCTTGGCTCGAACCCGCGACCTTGAGAAAAAAAGAAAAAAAAAAACTATTCATGGCATTATGTAGGATCATGAGCCAACATATGTTCTTTGCTAGAATCATACCGCTCGGCCATCGACTACAACGGACGCTGCTTGTTGACAACTCCTTCATCTTTGGTACCTGTGAGGGGACGGAGATCGGAGGACGTTCCATCGCAGTGCGGGTTAATGGCTCCAAGCTCGAGGTACTGGCTGGATGAACCACTCGAGACGAATACTTTCAAGACGTAGTCAGATCAAAATCATTTCTGAATACTCACCTAAAGCTTACTTACCTTTGTACTTGAGTACACCATATTAGGTAAGTGAAAGGATGGAACACTCATCTAAGTGTAGGGTTTATTATCGATACTCGCAACCCTCATACTTGTGTGCATAGAACAGTATGCTACCTAATTCTTCCGTGGGTATCGAGTGAGCCAACAGCCCTTGCGTATCACAATACATTCTCTCGGCCTAGCATGCTCACACAGGCCGTCGTGAAACCAATAATTGGTGAGAGGGTGAACACCCGACTGAAAGGATACGTCCTCCAAAATCTGGATATGTTCCTAGTCACAAGCTCCAAACCGGAAGAGCTCTCAATATCACTCCGGGCAAGTGAAGGCCCCAACTGCGGTAGGTGAGCAACACCATTCGACAAACCAAGTTTGGCATATTGTAGCGGCCGACGACATCCAATGGAGAAAGACACGAGAGGCGCGTAGCCCAACACCAATCTAATATGGCCAGGCCAGGTAGCCGAATCTCACGTCAATCCAGCGCACCCTGCCAAGGATATCACTCAACACGCAATATTGACTGGTGCCCACTCTTGAGAGGGTATTTGAAAAGCTTCCTCACTCAAGCCTATCAATAAGAGTCGACCAAACCTGCCTATTTAGGCAAGTCTCGTTTCCATTGCATTGGAAACCACGAAATGCTTATGCTGCCAGAAATTCTAGAGAAATAAGCACAAGGATGCTTTAGCCGGATCCCCCAGGTTGCAATTGGAGAGACACTAAAGATGGCACTTGTCAGCATGATGTCGAGCTCGAATTTGGCGTAGGGCTTACATGCGGTTTGCCCGAGATGCTGAGAGGCTGAAGAAACTAACAACGAGTGGCTGCATTTGCGAAAAGAGTAAGACAAGATTGGCGACAAACGAGTTCCACTTTGTCTTAGCTGCCCCTCACGAAGCTCTCCAAGCTCCTCCTGGGAGCACGCTAGACGCGGGGTCTTATTGATAAAGACGTCGGGATCCTCAAAATGGTCCAACGGTCTTGAGTCCGCGGAGATGTCATAACACCCGTGTTCGAGACTTATCACTTATACGCAGCTCAGTCCTTACGACATACTTGTCAAATATTCACCGTAGACCAAGCTTTGACAATGCCCGTACTCAAACCCAACGCTGAATTCGGGCATTGCGTGCCACCAGAGACTCAGTATGGGATAACCACCTACGCTCCAGGATGGGAAAATGCAATCAAGTTTCGAGAGGGAGATCGAGCCACCATGGCTCGCGTGGTGCACATATATCCCAGATTTGGACCCTTCGGGCCCGTCTCCAAGGTCAGTCTTGTTCATCCATGAAACCACACCGCCCTGAAATCAACAACACTACTCTAGACCACAGATGTGAAGAACCTCCCATGCTTGAGAACATAACTGACAAACCCCTACAAGGCACTCATAGCCATCTGCGCAAAGATCAAACCCCCAGAAGGCCACGGAGCACTCTTCTTCACCTCACCAGCTTCCTTCGCCACCGTCCACGCCCACGCTCTTCATCCCCACAGAAAGCAGCACGTCCTGACCGACGACGACCTAGGCTACCGGTGCGTCGATGTCGGTGACGTGCGCCTGTACCTCGTCACCTATCCAATGCCTAAGACACCAGGCGTCATTGGCGCCTGGCAGAACCCGGGCATAGGCGTCTCGATCCGTCTAGCCGAAAAGCTCCTGGAGGACATTGAGTCTCTGAAAGAGGTTGAGTTCGACGGTGCAGGAGACTCGCCTCCGCCTACGGAGTATCTCCCCGAGGGTGAGGCTCACCGCAAGCTAAAAGAGCGTATCATCGGACTCCTTCACAGGGCCGTGATCGACCCCGAACAGGTCAAGGTCGAGACCCGGGACGTCTTTTTGTATCCCACGGGGATGGCCGCCATTTTCGCCGCTCATATGACCCTGCTCGAGTACCGGCCCGGCAGTGTCGTGATTCTCGGCATTGCCTTCCACAGTACCGTTCACTATCTTCAAGACTCCTCGCCGCAGGGCTACAAGCATTTCGGTCCTGTCGACACAAAGGGCCTCGACGACTTCGAGTCCTGGCTCGACGCAGAAACGGCATCTGGGAGAGACGTGAGCTATGTCATCGCCGAGTTCCCCAGTAACCCTCTCCTGGCTAGCACTGATATCCGCCGTATCAGGAAGCTTGTAAGTGACAAAATCATCAGATATCAGGGATTGATGTACCAAGTTAACGTCTTTTTGTAGTCCCAAAAGCATAAATTCATCCTCGTGCTCGACGACACAGTCGGTTCCTTCAGCAACATCGACATCATTCCTCAATCCGATCTCCTAATCTCCTCGCTCACAAAGTCCTTCTCGGGCTACGCAAACGTCATGGGCGGCAGCATCGTCCTCAACCCACTCTCACCACACTACTCCACCCTTCACCCCCTCTGGTCCAAAACCCATCACAACGAGCTCTTCCTCGCCGACGCCGAGGTCCTCCTCTCCAACTCGGAGGACTACCTCCCACGCACCGCAGCCCTGAACCGCAACGCCGCCGCCATGGCCGCCCACCTCCACGCCGAAGCCTCCAAGAACCCCGGATTGGGAGTCGTCAAGGTCCTCTACCCCTCCGTTCTCCCAGACTACGAAACCTACAAATCATTCCTCCGCAAACCGACACCGGAGCTCCCCGAACCGGGCGCGGGATGCCTCCTGAGCGTTGACTTCGACTCCGTCGACGCCGCGCGTGCTTTCTACGACCGGCTGGCGTTTTACCCGGGCCCTCACCTCGGCGCGCACCGCACGTTGTGTCTGGCGTATAACACGCTTGCGTTCGGCAAGGACCCTGAAGAGGCGGCGTTTCATCGGTCGTATGGCATTTTGGAGGAGACGGTGCGTATCTCTGCTGGGTTGGAGGATGTGCAGGACCTTTTGGATACGCTGGATGATGCGTTGGCTGCTGCGAGGGAGGTCAAGGCGAAGTTGGTGGTGGGGCCTACGACCGTGGAGGCTGCTGCTGGTCTTGGTGTTTCTGCCTAACAGTTTGCCTTGCTAAGCTGAGATGGTTTTGCGGCGCAGAAGAGCTCTCGGCTAATAAGGTACATGTAAAGGTTCTTTCTTTCGCAGAACATAGCTCCAGATTCGTGTCTCTTGCGGCAGACGTTTCTTCTGCTGGCCATGCTCTCATTGATGCAGGACTCTAACCAGCTGCCAGCTAGACGCATCATGGCATCTGATTATTCCTAAGGTGACGTATAGTGTTGGAAAGGAACCCTATAGTCACAGAAGTCCTGTCTGCGGTTCAAATCAAGCCTTCATCATTACTATGTACATGTTGTATGTTGACTGAGAGAAGGTGGGATAAGTCGGGGCTGCCGTCGGCTGGACCTCCTCCCTTCACTCGAAACCATTTGCACAGCCATATGCTGTATTTCGTTGGCTCTCCATGTCATGTGTCAGCTTCATCTAGCCGTTGAATGCCCAGATGTTCTGAGACAGGCGGCCCATGTTAACACGAATCAAATTTGTCGAAGGCCCAGCTTGCTACAAGGTGCTGCATCAACACACGTACGGCCACATCACACAGCCAGAGCCCAATCACGCAGACAGAAGGCAACAAAGACAACGTATCCAAGTTCGCTCCTCAAAGCATACTTGATCGTTTGCTATACTTATCATTATTGCCCATCTTTCTTGCGTCCCCTTCTTGCCCATCATTCTTACGTCTATCTCTTACGTCCCCTCCCTTTCTGTTCTTCTTGCCTTGATATCACTCCCGTGCGTTAGTAGACTATTCGGACCTTGTATCCACGACACTACATACTACCGACGATTAAGCCCTATTCATGGCTGATGTTACAAATTACACCGTCGGCTGGATATGAGGCCTCCTGATCGAGTTCATCGCGGCGGAAACTTTCCTCGATGAGACGCACCGAACCCCCATTGATATTGCAAAAAACGATAGAGATGATATTGTCTGCGCTTCGAACAAGATCAAAGGCCACAATGTCGTGATCGCCGTCTCACTCAGCGGGGAGTATAAGCCAGATTCGGCAGCGGTAGTGGCTCAAGGTACGCTGAGCAGATTTCCCAATATACGCATTGGGCTTTTGGTCGGTGTTGGCGGCGGCTCACGTTACTCGAGGCACGGCATACAACTCGGTGATGTTGTGGTTGGCAGTCATGGAGTCTTCCAGTTTGGCCTCAGGAAATCACTCCAAGGCGAGGATTCTTCTTTGGAGCAACCGGTATCCTTGAATCAACCGCCGGTAGCGATTCGATCAGCTGTCTCCATCCTCGATCTTGAGTACAAACAAGACGATTATCGCCTGCATTGGAAGATCAAAAGAGCGCTCGGAGGGTGGCCGTATTTGCAAGATTATGCGCGGCCCCCTTCACATAGTGGCAGGCCCTGAGTCTGGCGTTTCTCAAGGGACTACAGGAGACGATCATCACAGTGCGCTTCCTCGTGAACAAGCTCATCTCGTAAAGTTGGCGGAGAGAGATAGTTCCAAAATTCACCACGGCCGGATTGCTAGTTCGAACCGGATCATGAACAATGCAACTGCCGGGGCATTTCCCGGCGACCTATGCTTCGAGACTGAGGCAGCTGGTCTAACAGACCGTTTTCCATGTCTGCTACTCCGCGGAATCTGTGACTACTCTGATGCATCTAAGCACAAGGGATGGGAACGTTTCGCAGCCGTGGCGGCGGCTGCTTATGCAGCGGACCTGCTACGCTCCATAAAGCCTCAAACGATTGAAACCGAGAAGCCAATCCTGGGCATCCTGGGTCAAAGTCAGTATATTAGTCCGAGTTCAAATGGCACCATCTAACTTCATGTAGCGCAGGAGGATCTTGGATCTTTTCGTGAAGACGTGATGGGAACAAAGACCACTACGATAACCTCCAAACACGATCAGGATGTCAACGAGCAAGACGACAGAGACAGCAACGCCCTACCGCATGCATCAGAGGAAGGAGATTTTTACATTGCAAAAATCCCCGTCTTGCATGTCGCAGCTATCAATGCACAAGGTACCAAGTATAGCAATGCCCTTCAAACAGCATCGAAAGCAGGCCTCGCTGGCAATGTCAAGTTCCCCGACTTGGAGACTTCCAGAGCAAAGTCATCTACGTCACTTTTGTTGCCAGTGGGAGATACCTGAATTTTATAAGCAAATGCGAGATGCATCATCGTCTTCTACTGGAAGCGACATTCTGGGGTTGTTATCCGAGTTCGTCATCCTGACTGGCGATGAAGCGGTCGAATGCTCAACATGCTCCGAATTTCTACACAAGGAATGGCGTTATGCCGGTTATATTGCACCATGAATTATGAATATTGGAATCAGACACCTTCTGTTTTCAGACCCAACTGTCTTAGGACACAAAGATCCCTTCCGTATACAGAGGCGTCTCGACATAGATGGGTTTAGCATACAATATTCAACTACGGAAGACATAGAAGTTTTGTTTCGTACTGCTAACAGCGAGGCAAGAAACATTATCGAGGCAATGATGTGGGTCAGCACAGCCATGCAACCGACTCCATCGACACCTGCAAACACTAGTACGAGGATGTTCAGGTCGACCACAATCGAGCCGCCCCTTGGTGATCTTCTACCTCAGGAAATCAACAGTAATTTCCAGCCACTGGAAGAATGGTACCATGGCACCTTCTCTACTTCTTCCAATTGTTGGACAAAACTATTTCGTACCAGTGTCATAGCTTGGCATAACATCCGTCGAGAGTGGGGGAAGGGCCTCGAAGTATCATTCGATATGATGGTTCGCCTTGCATCGGTAGAAAACTACTATCCCTTGGACAACGGTGTGGTTTTACTTGGATTCACGACAGCACTGGTTTCAGTCGAGTGGTACAAAACACCAAACAGTATCCAATGGCATTTTGAGGCTGTTGAAGCTTCGAGGGTAATTTCATAGACCCAGAAAAACTGCAGACGATACCACAAAGTTGGGTGAGGTTCCAAGACAAGTCTGAAATTCAAGGCTCGAAGTGCTTTGTCGGATGGTTTGAGGAGGCGCATGTGCTACTTGGAACTCGCGAGCTTCTTGAAGCGACAAGTATGTCTTGGAGCCAGACTGGCGAACGTTTCAGGACGCTCCGCCAAACGGGAGTTGAAGCTGGCGCGCAGATCGCTTTCTCTGCTGGCCCCCTCAACATCGCCCCGCAATGCATCAAAACCTGGGTGTTCGCTACTAATGTACAGAGATTTGAACCGACGCAGCAGTACAAGCATGCACTGTATGCATGTCGACGGAGAGTCGCACTTATTATCGATGCCGAGACTAAGCAAGCATGGCTCGCCCCGGTGCTCAGCTTGATCCTTCACCTCTGCCACATATACTGGAAGGACATCACCAGACTACCTCACAACACCAACCCTATTCCGTTTGCAGAGCCGGCACATGATGGCCATCAAGCGGCTCTAGACGCCCTCGGAATGAAGGGAGATGTGATTGTGCTGGGTAGACTCGAAGAGCCTGACACGGAAACATTACGCCAGCTTGTCTTGCGAATACACACGTCTCTCGTGCAGACAGCCCACACAAGGGAGGAACCTAGACACAACACAATTTTTGCGACAGAGCTGATGGCAATCATTGACCCCCCCCTTTCAAGGAAGCGCACTGCGAGAGGTTGACGCTTCCGGTTCAGAAAGCTCGTTCAGCTCCTGGGAAGCGATCGTCAGGCATGTTGATGTTGTTGGAGTTTGCGCAAAACTCGGGGGTGCCATAGAGCCGCTCATTCCACGCTCCACTCCTAAGTGTCCAGATTGTTGTACGCTCCCAGCACAGCGCTACTACCTGGCAGCTCACATGAAATGTCTCATGGCCCTCTCCAAGTCAGAGACAATCAGCACGAACGGGCTCAGTAATGGCTGTCGATTAGGACCTAGGACTTTCTGGCGTACAAGGTCACCATGGTCCAGTTGTTCTATTCCTGGCCACGCGCGTATTCGGAAGGACAGTACACCCTATAAGGGACTCCAGTATATATCAGCAAAGAAGCCCACAAAAAGCCCATCTCCAGTATTATCAGATCAAGTCAAAGCTATAGGTACTATTAATACTAGTGCCGTTGATACTGGTGACGTTGATACTGATGTCGTTGGCACTGGTGTTGTTGTATTCAGAAGTATACACAACGAGAGAAACTTCGTTGGCCTTAGAATAGTTTGAAATCCAATCGGACACAAACACCGTTCTTTCGGGCGTTATCTAGGTACAAGTAATTTTCCATGTTTTTTTGTAGGACAAAAATATTACACATCGGGCCTTACGGATTGGCGAGGGTTTGCATCTCAATACTGGTTCAAAACCTTGAAAAGTTTCCTAGGGCGTGCTTTAGCTTCATTGTGATTTCATGTATGTAGACTGGCTAATCGTCTGACTATGAATAGGTACAGCTTGTGCCAGTTTTACATTGCTCTTTAGAAGCTGGGTGAATAATTGCTGTGTCACAATTCTGCTCTTCCTTCCATCATTTGGTCTCCAGCTTGACTCCATCTATAAGCCCCGAAAGACATTTACTGCAGCCGTCTTTCCGGCGACGAATTCAGCCCAGCACTAAGCAGAAGCTGCGGCCTCTTCCTTCTCGGGCTTACGGCCAACAACGGAGTAGCTAACACCAAGTCAATCAGCACAAATAGACTTCGATAGGCTCGTGTCAGAAAAACAACAAGGCTCGGCACTAACATGGGAAAGTAAGCGTGGTAGCTCCTATTCTTCAAATCCTTGCGGACATTGACGAGAAACACGTCGACTTCGTCGTGGGACCAGCCGTGGACGCGGGTGAGCAGCGCTATGCAAACGGCTTCGAGGGCGCTGGCGAAGTTCTCGTGGCACCAGAGGCCAAGTTTCTTGTATCTATCGCAAGGTAGTGTCAATATAAGTGAAACTTTTGTTCTGACTATCGACGAAGCACGTTGCTTTCCGACAGAACAGTGAATAGTGGGGGGGGGGGGGGGGGGGGGGCAGACGGAACTTGGATGTACGTACTTTCCATCCTTGGGCCAGCCGTTCATAGGCCACTTGAAAATCCGAAGCTCGACGTCGACAAAGCCAGCCTTGACGACAAGGCTTTTGAGGGTAGACACGTCGACGAACACGCGGCCCATCTTCTCGGACCCTGAACGGATGAGGTTGACGTACTCGTGTATTGAAGAATCCTCGGGAAGCGTACCGTCGTCGGAAACGGGGTCAACTTGGTTTTCGAGAAGCTCGAGGTACCCGCCTGGCGCAATGTTGCTGAGGCCAGTGTCAATAAGAAACCCATTTAGCCAGCTGATGATTATTATGCGAAGTGTACTGACTCGTAGCATTTCTTGAGATATTCTTTCCAATTTGCGATGCTTGCGTTCATGAAGCGGCTGTGGATGTAATTGAAAGGCTCCGAGTACGTCCACTCTTCTTCGATGTCGTCTACTTCGAACCTCACGTTTGGAGGCACGCTAAATACATTGAAATCAGCAAGAATAGAAACGGAAGAGTCGTCAAATCAATACGCAAACCCTACTTACAATTCTTGCTGAGGAGCAGAGAGATCGATGCCCAGTATCTAGAAACATAGAACCGTCTTGTTAGATACGCGGATCGCCGCGTTGAGCAGTTCAGGGCATTCAATGGAGAAGGGCAGAAGGTACCTCAGCTTCGGGGTGCAAGTCTCCGAAATCGACGGCCCAGACCCCGGTTCCGGTCCCTACATCGAGAACGCGGCCGACTATGGAGTCTGGTTTGCAGGGAGGGGCTAAGCCAAGTTTGCCATCGAGAGTGTAGATGAAGATCTCATGTTGTTGATCTGATACCCGAGAGAGAGGATGAATCTAGTCAGAGTTTGTGCTTCATCCGAGATGGGGTGAAAGAGTATTTCAGGATGAGGAATAGGCACCTAATCTGTCGCTTTCTCTTGCGTCGTTTGGGAAGATATATTCTGCGTCGACATCAGCTTCTCAAACGCCGAGTATTGTGTAGATCCCTGGAGTAGAGGAGATGTATCTCACTTCCGTCCTTGTAACTGTGATACGTTCTACCATTCTCGATCCGATAGTCTAGGATAGATGCGGTGATGCTCGTGCTCGACGAAGCGATGCTCTGTTCGGCTCTTAGAGACTATCCAACTTCGTACCATCGCATAGAGCTGATAGCGGTCCTTCAGAAGATAAAGTTGGCCTACCTCGAGATCCGACCCATCGTGTTCAGAAGCCTATCACGAAGAGGTAAGCTTTGAACTCGCAGCCTCTGACAGCCCTTGAATTTTTGTAGCATAAAGTAGATACCTCATCTCCTGGCATAATGACGACCTCGTGGGTGACTTCTGCCATATTCTTAGCCTGCGATTGTCCAGTAACTTATTTGTATTGATGGCTTCTCAGTCGATGCTTTGTCTCCCCGATTGTACTTTGATACACGCCAGAACCAAATGCTGGCTTTGATAAGTGTATAAAAATGCAGAAAGTTGAACGCTAGAATGAGAACCTACGCCCTCTCATTATAATTTATATGAGCATCGAACCCCTCTTCCAAGACGGATGGAACCATATGTCCGCAATACCAACCAACATGCATATGCGTGTCGACGGCCCGGTTGCCCCTTTCTGCCCACTTGCAAGGATTCGCCTGTGGAGATACTTCCAGAATAGCTTTTATTGCAGGAGACATGCGATCAAGTCATGCTCTCTCAATAATACATTGATAACCTCGAGTGCACAGAGTTGATTGCTCATGATGGACGTATTCTGACCGAACACCCCGCCCGGAACACGGTGCAGTCAAAAGCAAAGAGGGCGATTAGGCAAATGCAAGCAAAATGGAACTCTGTCCAACCCAATCAAGTTCGCAGATTAAGTCTCTTGGGAGATCGCGTGCCTTTAGGGTTGCCTCTATTCTATCACGAGCATTGTCGAGGCAGTCACCGGTTCGAGGCCTTGTGCATTGATCTTGGTTTGCACTTCACCACTCACTCACTCGTAATTCAAAGTCTGCTATATTGTGCTCTGGCTTCATTATATTCCTCTACAAGCATCCCGCAGCTTGTCAAACGCAAGAGAACAAAAAGGACCAACGCCAAACTTTCCCTTCCTCACCAGGGCCAACGTATCAGAAGCCCGTACATTCCACATAATCTCATCTACAAGGGCGTCACACCATTTTCTATCTCCCCCACCCCAAAAAATGCTCTCTTACACCATCGCAGTCACTCTCCTGACACTTCTCCTCGCGCCTTCACCGCTAACCATGATAAGTCCCTCCATCTCCAAGGTCCGCATCGTCTCATTAAAGTCGCTTTGCTCGACAGGCATGCTAGCCGACTCGCTGAGCCTCCGTGCAACCTCGGCCCACTTGACGGTCTGTCCGTTGCTGGTAAGCTCGTCGAGCAGGTGAAGCACGGCGTTCTTGATCTCCTCCTTCTTGCGGCGATCGGCGGCGCTCGTGCCCTCCGTCAGGAGACTCATGTCGATGCGGCCCTGTGAATCGGTGGCGGCGGTCTTCAAGGCAGAGCGGATGAGGCGGGCGGCCTCCATGACGTCTTCACGAACAACAGTTGTGGACAGACGCATCTTGGCGTGAGCTTCGGAGAGACGGATCATAGATTCAAGTTGACGGGTGGTGGCGGTGATGCGCTTCTCTGCAGCGCGAACATCCTGGCCGAGCTTGCGCATCTCAAGGTACTGGTTGACCAGCTCCTGAGCCGCATCTTGGGCAATGGTAGGCTGTATTTGCGAGCGAGCGTAGGAGATGTAGGTGGTAAGGAACTCAACAGGCTGAAGTCGGTTAGCAATGGTGAAAATCGTACGAGTCATTGGATACTTACGAGAATGTCGTCCTTCTGTTGGGCAGACTCTGGGTTATCTTCCAAGTACAGGGAGAGAAGATGGCGAGCAAGACGAGCATCGCTCTTCTCATCCGCACGATCAAGAATAAGGTAGACCAAATCGAAACGAGACAGCAGCGTGGGGGGCAGGTCGATGTTCTGAGGTACGGGTAGATCAGGGTTGTAACGACTGCCAATAGGGTTGGCAGAAGCCAGGATACTCGTCCGGGCGTTCAAGGTGGTAATGATACCGGCCTTGGCAACGGACACCGTCTGCTGTTCCATCACTTCGTGAAGAACGGAACGAGTTGACTCTGACATCTTGTCGAACTCGTCGATACAGCAGACACCGCCGTCTGACAAGACAAGGGCACCAGACTCAAGAACGAGCTGGCGAGTCTCGGGATCTCTTGTGACGTACGCGGTGAGACCAACAGCAGAGGAACCCTTGCCACTGGTGTATACACCACGAGGAGCAATCTTGTGCACGTAGGAGAGAATTTGGGACTTGGACGTCGAAGGGTCACCGCAGAGCAGGACGTTGATATCGCCTCTGTACCTGGGGCTGCCACCCTTGGTGAAAGTCTTGTTGGTGCCACCAAAAAGTTGCAGCAAGATTCCCTTCTTCACATCGTCCATCTCGTAAATAGATGGAGCGAGTGAGCGGGAAAGAAGATCGTAAATGTCTGGCCTGGCAGCGGTCTCCTTGATCTTGTCTTCCTCCTCTGGGGTGATCTTCTTGGCCTCTTCGAGATTAGGGTCATTGCCAGACTCTTCTTCTTCACCTTCGAGGCCGAGGGTAGAAGGATCAACGCCCATTCTCTTCTTGTCCACTTTTTGGACGTGCAACACATCGACATATGTCTTGTAAATGCTCTTGATGGTCCTTTGGCGAGGGTTCACACGCACAGGGTTGACGCGGAAAATGCCCGTAAGCTCAACACGGTCACCAGCTTTGCAGAAGTCCACCAATTCGTTGTACACGCAGACTGAAACTGAGTGGGGCGTTTGTCCGGCAGGAACCGCATCGGGTGTCTCCTGAAGCTTAATTACCTGCTTGTCGTCGAAAACGCAGCGGTTGTGGATAATCTGCATCGAGTTCTTGGAGGCGCAGCGGGTACGCGGGCACTCAGTGGGCTCGCGGATTTTGCCTCTGTCGAGACCAACGTTAACCGAGTGATTGCAAACACTGCAACGGAAAAACGCATCCTTCATGTCTGGGATGACTGGCGTGGTGCGGATGACAAGACCCTTGATGGTGATGAGCCTATCCATGTCAGAGGGGTTCAGGTCTCGAAGGTTGGTCGTCTTGTCCAGTCCGAAAGGTCGGACCATGTACAGCAAGCCGGAAACCTCGTCTTCTTTGGAAGGGAGGTCCATAGTAGGTCGTGGTGTCGGGGCATCAGAGCCGGCATGGTCTGAGCTTGGGAAGGCAATCTCGGAGCTGGGTGCAGTGTTGCTTCGCCTAGCCGCATCGCCAGCACTGCTCTGAGAGGCACGTTGCCTTTGGTCTTCGGCTCTTGCTAAGTCAACCATCATGTCGCTTACAGACTGATCCATAATAGGGACGATTTCCTGCGGGTAAGCTTGGAGGTGATACCAGAGCTTGCGAGTCGGGGGGTAAGTGTTCAGATCGGCGACGTTGAGATGGAGCCTGGCGGTACCGAGAAGAAGCATGTTTTCCAAAGCCTCCCAGTATGGTTTGGACTCGGCGTCAGGGGCATTTTGGACCTCAGCCTCAGACCAGCCCTCTCTGTACAGCTGGTATTTCCGTGTGAAGTGCCTGAGGAAATCCTTGAAGGCTGCGAAGGTGTCGTCGACGGAAACCGTGGTACCCCAAATAGCACTCTCTCCTTGCCCACCAAGACGATCTGCCTCTGACGTGTTGGGGTCCGGGTTGCTGAATGAGAGCGCATCGGAGCCCGGTGCATCTGTGGTCACTCTGCCTTGGGGATCCAAGACAATGCGGCGGCGGGGTGTTCTGATGCCTTCTGAGTTGATATCACCTCTGCGGGAACGAGAGGCTCTGTCAGAGACGAAGAGACCACTGCTTTCACTGCGCAAGTCTGACTGAGGCGCCCGCATGGGTCCCGGGCTGGAGCTGGCTTCGTATCGGATTGGTGACGATTCTGGGGATACAGGTCAGTAATTTACACGCATATAAACTAAGGAGGTCCTTACCTCTCATCATGCCGCTTGCGCGAGGTGTCCTGTCTCCATCGCCAGTAGATTGAGTGTCAATATCTTGACGCAGCGGTGAGCTGGGAGCAGGCCCATTGGCGGTACTCTGGCTGTTGCTCATATTCCGCAAGGGGGACGACACATCGCCATTGGCAGGTGCATTGCGACGACCATTGGCAGACTGCGCCGGGGAAGATTCATAGAACAGAGGGCTGGATGCAAGCTGGGACCGGCGAGTTGTGCGAGGCGTCTCTGCAGGGCGTTGTTGCGCCTCTTCGTCTGCGGGCGCGGGGGTGCTGCGATCAGCGTCCGGGTTATTTCTCGTGGAACGGCGGGGAGTTCCACCAGCCGTCGAACTTCTTGTCGACCTTTTCGAAGGGGAAGACATGTTTGTTGTGCTTTGACGTTCGTAGTCTTCCTTGCGGTTGTTGATCGAACGGGGGGGGGAGTGGGATGCGGGATGCGACTGAAAGAATATGTGCGTTGCTGGGGAGAGGGGAGGTGTGGAGAGGCGTCGTTCAGGAGCAACTAAAAGGTGGGCTGCATTGCAATCTTGAAAAAGCACTTTACGCGCTCACCCAGCCAGAACGTGTCCCGAAAAGGAGTTTCGCGTTTCCACTTTACGCGCTTCCACTTTACGCGCTGTGGAAGCATTGGCCTGTGCGCTCCATCTACCGCCAATGTCACTGGGGCCACCTATCTGATGGGGCTCAAGGTCTGGTGGGTCCGCACAATCCCTGCTATCCGGCCATCGGCGAAACCACCCACCGACTTGCACCGATTCTGGGATGCTGAGGTGGTCAATTGCATCCCGCCAGAGCTCCCTACCAGGCACCGTTGACTACCTAAAGTGACATTACCCAGCAACCCACCAACAAGCGCAATCCGGCGCAACAAACCCCCAAAACGACCGTCAAGATGGCTCCCGGAATGTCCCTTTTCTCCGTCAATGCGATCCTCATCCTCAGCATTGAGGACGGATCGCGGTTATTCTCCAAGTACTACAGCGCACCCCACCAAGGCACACAAAAGGACGGTATGCGCTGGCCTCCCCCCCTCCAAAGCCGAGCTCTGGAGCTCCATGACTGACGGAATCGATCCACGATAGGCCAGACGAACCCTTACCCCGATGTCAAGTCGCAAAAGGCCTTTGAGAAGGGTCTCCTGGAGAAGACGGCCAAGCAGACCGGCGATATTATTCTCTACGACAACCGGATCGTTCTGTACAAGATGGAGTCGGACGTCATGATGTATGTTGTTGGAGGCGTTGACGAGAACGAAGTTCTTCTCTACAACGTCATTTTGGCCCTGAGAGATTCCCTGCACCTCCTCTTCAAGTAAGCTATACTCCCCCCTGTCCCCTAGGAGCTACATGAAGCTGGCGATTCTAACAGCTCTGCTAGGCAATCTGTCGACAAGCGCACAATCGTTGAGAACTACGACCTCGTCTCCCTCGCTATCGACGAGATTGTTGACGACGGCATCATCCTCGAGACCGACCCTACCATTATCGTCCAAAGAGTCAGCAAGGCCCCGGCGCAAGACGTCGACCTCCGCCGCATCGACCTCAGTGAACAAGGTGTCAACAACCTGGCCCAGCTGGGTAAGTCGAAACTGGCGGACTGGTTGCGGCAAGGCTTGTAAGGGAGAGAGAGGATGGAGGTATAAACCAGGGATGGTTGTGCAAATGGGAGTTTTATGGTGGCTTTCTAAAGGGAACGCATCATTAAAAGTATAGTCCTCTGAAAGGGGGCCGTCATGACGAATGCCTCGAATTTATGCTTGATTCTATTTTTTGCTCAAAGACCCGGTCTATGCTCGAATCTCAGAGGCCGCTTTGCGGAGCCTGTTCATTACCGCCTCTGCAATGTCATTCCTGTCGTCAATGCCGTCCACGAAGATGACACTGGCACCTCTTCTATCTAGATCTCTCAAGGCTGAGAAAAGCCCCTGAGCGATCCCCTTGATGTCGTCGCCCAGGTCTATGTCGAGGATCGTCGCCATCGGCCTATTCTCTGCGTCCTGGAGCTCGCCCTCTTGGACTTCGTACGCCGCTTCGTTCCTCGCATTCGCCGCCACAGCCCCGTCAACGTGAACCTTGGAGACCTGCAACGCGCCGTGGTGCAAACCACCCGCAATCTTCCACCGCCTCGTGCGAATGATTCCAATCTTGAGCGACGTCGGCCCCGCGCCATTCGTCGCAGTCACGTCGCCGTTCTGCTGAATCAGTGCCTTTTGCAGGTCCTCGGCAATGATACCCTCAGCACCCGCCTCGCAAGCCCACTCGTACAACACAACCTTGGCCTTGGGGCTGTAGTGCTTATACTTCATCCCCGGAGCCCGCGGCGTCGCCTTGCCCATCTCGCTCTCATCCTTGTACGCCTTGACGACGCACTCCCAGCCGGGACATCTCCGCAGCTCCTCCATGCCCACACCGCCCGGCCTCAGCACGACGGGCGGGTTGCACAGGCCGTCGACGACAGTGCTCTCCACGCCGACCTGGCACGCCCCGCCGTCCAAGATGAGCTCGATGCGCCCTTCCAGGTCGTGGAAGACGTGCTGCGCCGTCGTGGGAGACGGTTTCGTGGACGCGTTGGCCGAGGGCGCGGCCAGGGGCACGCCGGCGAGCTTGATGAGCGTCAGCGCCAACGGCGAGGACGGCATCCGGACACCGAAGCTCGGTAATCCCGCCGTGACTTCGGGCGCGAGCTTGCTCGGCTCTGGATTCCTCAGCAGGATCGTCAGGGGTCCGGGCCAGAATTTTTCAATGAGCGGCTTGTAGATTTCCGGGATCGGATCCTTTGCTGTGTCGCCGTTGGTCTGTTTCTCTGACTGCAGTAGGCCTCTCAACATGTCTAGATCGCAGACGTGCGATATCAGAGGGTTGTCTGATGGCCGGCCCTTGGCTGAGTAGATGCCCTTGACGGCGCCGCTTCTTGTTGCGTCGGCTCCGAGACCGTAGACGGTCTCGGTTGGGAATGCCACGGGCGTGTCCTTGCTGCGAAGGTATTCCGCGGCATCTCGTAGGGCGGATATTGATGCGCCAGAGGCCGAGTTGGCGATTTCCCAGTTGCTTAACCTCTCAGGTCCCTCTGCACCTCTGAACTTCCCCAGCCCTTGGGCCTCGACTTTCACTACTCGGGTCTCCATTGTGACTTTGCTATTGTGTTGTGATGAAAATAGTCGCTGATAGTTGTGGCTTGAAGTTGCAATTTGACGACTTATACGACGTATTAGAGGTAGTGCAAAAAGATACGTCGGATGAGTTTGCATAAAATCCAAGGGTAGGAGAGAAATAAAGTTGACAGAAGAGGGTCTAACGAGCTGGTTTTCTCCGACGTCAAACGAAGAATCTAGATCGTCGTCATAAGAGATTAATTGGGTATCAACTAAAGGTCTTCATGCAGATCGAGTGGATGAGAGAGATGGTCAAACAGAGTTGAGTCATATGTGGAAAAAATTCTCTGAATAAGGCTAAGTGATTGAAGTGTGTGGCCGTTGTTGGTGCGCTTTAGCGGCGATATTTCCGAGTTTAGGGAACTGGTGGTCGGGTCTTGCCCGTCAGCAGCAGTGACATCTGCCGCTAAGGTCACTTCGCCGATCGGTTTTCAGTGGGCCTGTGATGTGATTGTAGTGGGGGCTGAGTTTGCTCCAGGTGCTCGCCACGTGCTGACTCCCGTGTATGAAGTCTAACATGAGGTATGTACTCATTAGAAGCTTGGGTTGTCAAGTTGCGAGCATGGTCTCTTTCAATCTGCGGTTGAGCGGCATTTTTGGTTTGCATGGGCCAGAATGATCAGTAGATTTGGTCCTCCACCTCGCAGCTAAATCCCTAAGACACTGTTTGTGCAACACAGCATAGTTGTTGTGGCTGCAAAAGCTGTAGGTTGATCTTTTGACAATTACCTAGCCACGAAACCGTCTTCGAGTGGAGGCTAAGAGGTATTCCCAAACAACCTGATCTTTGTGTCCAAACAATTTCCTCGAGGTTCCTATTCTCTGTCCCCAGGGTGGCCGCATCAATGTAGGAGGACCATGCCACGGAATGGAACCTCCCGTCTGAGGCCCGGCCGATCGCAGCAAGTCTCGCCATCGATTTCGCAGGCTCAACGCAAGCAACCAAGTAGTCATGCGACCCTGTATCTCCTACACGGCTTTTTGAGCAGTCAAAAAGATCGAGCCTGCGTTCTCCTGCATCAGCCCCGGCCCGAATCCGGACTGGACGAGTAAATCGCGTAGCCGTCGCAGCAACATAGGCATATGCCGTGACGGCGTGACGTATGAATCTGTCCTGTACCAGCGAGCCTTCATGCCGCTAGCATCAGAGCCAGTTGGGAGTGTGCTTGATCGCAGACAGGTTGGCCTCATATCGAGGCCTCGCTGTCTCCTGTCCGTAGAATCCAAGCCACTGACCAGTGCCGAGCCTGTCCGTTTCTTTGTGCAACTGACAGGGAGCCTCAGACAAGCTCAGCGTTTCCATCGTCAACAACTGGCTTTGCGCTAGACCATCTCAGAACCAAGATGTCTCCCGTCATCGCTAGCACGGAGTCGTCCGCGTCCGTTCCCTTTCCTTCCACTTCTGTATCTCGCAGCATACGGATAAATACTGCGGTATCGAGGTCCGGCCCGTCGATCATGCTAATGTTACCAGCGGTATCGTTGAGGTTCTGTAGGTTTGGCGGGAAGGAGGAGAGGAAGGAGGAAAGATAGTGATTATGCAGTAGCGCCTGATGGCGAGTCGCGTATGCGAGTTCTGTTTCGGAAAGACGGGCGCGAAGAGACGGAGACGAGAGATAGTGGAGAGCGTGCTTATCGATCTGTAGTAGCAGAGTAGACTGTTAGCCACGCTGAGTGCCAATAGAAATGCGCCGGGTCCGGTTGGAGAGCTTAGGAGACTAGGTACCTTTGCAATGCGGGCGCGGAGAAAGCTCCTGACGAGAAACTTGAAGCGCTCAAGCTCAGTCTGAATGACGATGAGGGCGAAGTTGGTCTTGGGGTCCATGTCACCAGTCATATCCTCAACCTTTTCGATCTGGCGCTTGATGCGGTCGTTGACGCGCTCGAAGAGACCACCGGTAGGCCATCTGACGCATCGCATGTCAGCATGACGTGGAAAATAGTTTCGTCTATTGGTAAAATGCCGAGCAACAGGAGGTAGGCACACACTCTAGAAGTTCTGGGGCGGACCGCTCTGCCACCCAAGCACGCGTCAGGGCCTGTAAGTCGCGTGTCTCGGAGGGAATTGAGTATGAGACTGGGTCGACCTCGCGTAGAATGTCGTCAATGTCCATCGTTGCTGGTCTCTATAAGTGTACGATCTGTAGAGGGTGTTATAACATGGCGGTATTATGTTCAGCTGCGCGGTGTTGGTGAGGCGATTTCGAACCTCAAGGTCGATTTTGGATCGCGGGATGCTTGGGGGAGGGAGAATCGCGGGGTGCTAATTGACTTCGATGGTGGGGTCCTGCTGGATGTGGAACCACGGAGCTAGGTAGGCACGGGCAGGGTGCTAGGATAAGAGGGTACACGCAGATGCAATGACAAGAAGCCAGGGTTGAAGTATCTTTCTATCTACTTGATCCTGTCGTTTTCATCATCTTCTGTACAGAGCTTCCTTGTGACCAACATGGCTGTATTCTGGGTTCTTAGAGATCAAAAACACTGACAACCTGTTTTTTTAACTTGCTTGCAAATAATTCGCCTTGAGATCCTCGAAGACGATTTGTTTGGCGGCCGATTCGTAACTGCCGCATTGCAGATTACAAGAACGCCCCGACGGACATAGCTCACTTCCTGATGCTACTATGACGAGTAACATGGGAGCTTCGTGCCGAGGCTCCCAGCCGGGGAGCTTACGGATCTGACACTTTTCGGAGTATTTCAAGACGCCAATGCCACCCCCGCAGTCCCTCGATCTTTCCAAGCTCGTTTCTAGACTCGTTGAGATAATACGACATACGAATGTCCATAAGAAAACAACTTGCTGCGAAGGACGCCATTTGCAGTATCTAAACTGAGCAAATACCATTGATCTTCTCCAAATCTCTACGAGCTCTTACCTCTTCACAATGGCAGACTCTGGCGATGGCGATGAACGGACCCCTTACTCGGCCTACGCCGTCAGCATCTATCGAAACGGCGTTATGGCAGGTCAATTGCCCATCGTCACGACGGATCCCAACGGCTTGCAGGCCCAGGCCAAAAAGGCCATGGGCCCCGAGTCCTTCAACTACGTCTTCGGAGGCGCCGGCGAGCTGTCCACCATGGACGCGAACCGTCTGGCCTTTCGCCAGTGGAAGATCGTGCCTCGCTTCTTGAGACCCAGCAATCCTCGGGATTTGAGAACTGAGTTGTTTGGCGTGACTTATGGTACGTTCCGGACGCCAGCCTAATCTTAAATGAGACATTGCTCTAAGACAACAGCTCAGAGTCTCCCCTTTTGATGGCCCCCATCGGGGTCCAGAGTATCTTCCATGAGGACAAGGAGACAGGATTAGCAGCCGCCTGCGCCGAGCTGCAAGTACCGTACACGTTGAGCACGGCGGCGACCTCGACCATTGAAGAGGTCGCCAAAGTATGTGGCGACCAGCACCGCTGGTTCCAGTTGTACTGGCCCATGGATGATGACATTACGGGTTCGATCCTCAGACGTGCCAGAGCCAACGGGTACAAGGTTCTCGTCGTGACTCTCGACACCGTGACATTGGCTTGGCGGCCGGCAGATCTCGACCAGGCATATCTCCCCTTCATCACGGGCACAGGGAACTCGGTCGGCTTCAGCGATCCCGTCTTCCGCAAGAAGTTTTCCGAGCAGAACGACGGCGACCAGGTAGAGGACAACATCATTAGCGCCTCCCAGTACTGGATCAGCCAGGCATTCCCCGGCGATCATCATTCATGGAAGGATCTGGCGCTGCTGAAGAAGAACTGGGACGGGCCCATCGTTCTTAAAGGGGTGCTGAGCGTCGAGGACGCCAAGCTCGCCGTCGAGCATGGTATGTCGGGCATCATCGTCAGCAATCACGGCGGCCGACAGCTCGACGGCGGGGTCGCCTCCCTGGAGATGCTTCCGGAGATTGTGGAAGCCGTGGGCGACAAGCTCACGGTTATGCTCGATTCCGGGATCCGAACTGGGGCGGACATTGTCAAGGCCATCGCGCTGGGGGCTAAGGCTGTCTTCGTTGGCAGACCCGCCATCTACGGCCTGGGCATTGGGGGTAAAGAGGGTGCGAAGGCTGTCATTGCTGGACTGCTTGCTGATCTGGACTTGACAATGGGACTCTCCGGCTTCAAGAGTCTCTCCGAGCTCAAGCCTTCCATCCTTCGGCAGGTTCGGTACGGTGGGGACATGAAAGCTAACCTGTAGTTATCAGATCGTTCGCTTTCGAAATGGGGGTCTAGCAGGACGGCAAGCCGTTGTGCCGGGAAAATCCTGTGCTGTCAGCGGTCGCTTTCGCAATTACGCTGGAAGAATACAAGCTTATTTTCAGAAATGGTGTCGATCGTAGCCCCATTCCTTTGGTCTCATCACACCTTCTCCACGACTTTATTGAGATTTGATCAGCGTGGGAGCCGTGGACTAACAAAAAAAACACCCATATTGCGGTCCATCATTTTCCCCGCACCTTACCAGCGCCGGAATGCTCGCTATCCGGCGTGCTCGAAGCCCGGGAACGAGGAAAGCCACCGAGCTAACGTTCGGCTCCTGTCGACTGTCTTGGGCCGAGACAAGCCAAGACTATCAGATCGCAAGTGCCACACTTCCAGATGTCCTTCGCGTCAAAACATACCATTGGGTTCTTTGCTATTCATTCCTCACGTGGTTTGGAATCCGTCTAGGTGTAATTCGACCAACCCAGGCTTTCTCTACCTAGCGAGAGTCTTTCTCTCAGCACGCTAACATTAATGCAGTTGAACTAGGTCAAAAACTGAGTTCTTCTTCGCAGTCAATTACAATCAATTATTGGGCCTTCCGGGTATCCCACCGTATAGCCACAGCGCGGCTGGTACTACCGCCCGCAAGAGTTCACAAGCCTTGCCACTGTTCATCTCTTTCCATGACGAGATCATCATCTCTTTCTGGAGAATGTTCGTGATCTTCCGATGTGCTACCACGGGCTAGCGTGCATTCGTTCCAGTTTATCCTTTCCAATAGCTCCATGGGAAAGGGTCTATCCGAGGGAGCGGGATTTGGAGTGCAGTAAGCATATTCCTGCGGAAAGCGGGCTTGTCTCTGAGTAATCTCGTTGCGAAAGAGTCTCATCACAAGGCGTCATGTTAGGTTGTTGACAAATGGAGTGCTCACTTAGAGTTATCTGATATATAAGACGACAGCTTGGCTGATGATATGAAGGAAGAGAAGGAACAAGCCTCAGTAGATACAGCGATCTCACCAACAGTCCTTCCTTACCAAACCATCAATCAACTCTTCTCGTGATTCTATTACACATAAGCACATAGTCACTTCATATCCTACAACTCCCATCTAATACAATCCCACCAATATGCGTACCTCATCCATCATCCTTGCGGCTGCGTCCGCCGCCTCCGTCTTGGGTGCTCCTCTAGAGAAGAAGGCTAACTACGACCCCCTTCCCGGTGGTGATATCACCATCCTGAAGTAAGTCACACTAAGCAGCAAGCTGTTTGCTCCAATTCTAACAAACGTTCAACAGCTATGCTCTTACCCTCGAGTACCTCGAGCGCAAGTTCTACGAGGAGGGCTTGGCGAACTACACCGAGGCCGACTTCTGCAAGTACGCCGGTGAGGTCGGCGAGAAGTTCTACAAGAACCTCAAGACCATCTACGAGGACGAGAAGGTAAAGTTTCTACCCCCGAGCATACCGATCTCTGGAAAACGTGGCCTCTGAGCCATTACCACAACATACACTATTCTTGAATACCAGCAACCCATAAACTAACACCCCTCACCAAACACCCAGACCCACGTCGACTTCCTCAAGGGTGCCCTCGGCGCCTCCGCCATCCCCGAGCCGACCTTCGACTTCCCCGTCTCCGACGCGGAATCCTTCCTCGCCCTCGCCTCCGTCCTCGAGGGCGTCGGTGTGTCCGCCTACCTCGGTGCCGCCGCCGTCATCGCAGACAAGACCTACGTCCCCGTCGCCGGCTCCATCCTGACCGTCGAGGCCCGCCACTCCTCCTACATCCGCGCCGCCCTCCGCCAGAAGCCCTTCCCCACCCCCTTTGACACCCCTCTCGACTTCAACCAGGTCCACTCCCTCGCCTCCCAGTTCGTTGTCGCCTTCGCGCCGGGTACCCCCGCCCTGCCCTTCAAGGCCTTCCCCAAGTTGACCGTCTCGCCTACGCCCAACTCCCACGGCGCGCTGTTCGAGGGTGCTTACAAGGCTGCCGTTGACGCGCAGACCGTTCCTGCCGGAGCGACCGTCTACGCTGTCTTCTTCTCTGGTCTTGACACCTACTACACCGAGGTTGCCATCAGCGGCAACGACGTAAGTGACATCCGTCAGGCACTGCCTCTAAGTTCCCTATGCTTACCATGTTTCCCGCAGTACATCGTCGAGAAGCTGCCCGAGGGCCCCGAGGGCCAGGTCTACTGCGTCCTCAGCACCGCCAACGGCAACAGCACCAAGGTCTCTGACGAGAACACCGTTGCCGGTGTCGCTATCCTCGAGATTGAGGAGGCTGACTGGTAAACAAACCATGACAAAAGGTGTTTGGTGATGAAATGGTTGCATGACGCAGTCTGGAGCACTCTTGACGAACATCTGATACGGCTTTTTATTACTATCTCAAAATCTTCTTTGTACATATTGGAAACTTAGCTCAAACTGCGGAAACCGACTTGATAATTAATGCAATATTGTAACACAGGTTGTATGTGAAGTCTGTTGTGTGACATGCTTTCATACGGATATACCACAGTCACAACAAGGCGTCTGAAGGAGAAAAGTTTCTTCCATCCATGCAATCGAGGTCGCTGATTACCTACCTCTATAATGATAAGTGATAGTAAGATAATCTAAAAGGGGAGTGGTGTCAATCTAGCCAAGTCCTTTTCCCTTTGATCAAAAATGGAATATCCATCTACAGGTAAGGTAGTAGGTAAACAGATAAAGCATGAAAGAAGAAGACACCTTCCCACACGTCCCTTCTTCCCTCCAAAGAGGTGAATCCAAGTCACCTGACCCCCTCACCTGGGCTCTCCCTAGGGTATATATCCCACCCCAACCTCACTTTTTGTCACCAGCATAGCAGCGCCCGTCTAGGTCGGCGAGTTCAGGTCAAGCTGTGTGCGAGTTGGTCGAGTGGTAAAAATAGAGAAATACTCCAATGAAGTCAGAGTCCGGGTTGACTGAGGGGCGCGCTGTTCGAATCCGGGCAGGGGCGTGGATTATACGGTCAGTTATCACCCTCTCTTCCTCCCTTTTCTTTTTCTCCCTTCTATAGATTCTTTGATGTCTATTCTTTTCGTCTCATCCTTCTTCTTGTTTTTTTGCCTCTGGCGCTGGAGGTGTCGATAGATGAATTCCCGTGTGCTTCGAGCATCGCGATGGCTCGTCAGTCACGGACAGATTCTATGGTGTTCGCCGTCCGCTCTAGGGAGGCTTTCACTTCACCAAGCTACAAGTACCTGTGCCGTTTTATCAACAGCCAATTACACACGCGAGGCCAATCATCAACTTCCACGTATACGGCCAACCATCTGACGAATCCTCCTCGTGCTTATACGTTGGATTCGCTTATATACTATCTCTATCTGATTCACCAAACATCGCCCCTTCTTCTAAAGATCTTACCACCGCGCAGTCAGATCATATGGTTCCCTAATTCATCCCAGAAACCCCATCCTTGAACTTCTCAAACAGCGACAGATCGATCCCAGCAGCCATGGCCTCATACCCAGCCGGATTCAAATGCAGATGATCCCCCGTATCATACTCAGCCCTCAACTTCTCCGGCGCCGCAGGGTCCCTTACAATCGCATCAAAGTCAATCACGACATCGTACCGCCCGCTGCTCCGAATCCACTCATTCACCCTCTGCCGCGCCACTTCTCTCGTCGGGTCGGAGTACGGCTGCCCGTCGCCCGTAAGCGGCGTGATGGTCGCCCCGAACACTGCGATGCCGAACCGGTGAAGACGCGTGATCATCTGGTCGTACGCCATCACGAGCCGGTCCCCCACGGCCTCCTGGGCGGCGGTGGTGTTGGTTGCGGTGCCAATGTCGTTGACGCCGATGAAGACGATGGCGTATTTGATGCCGGACTGCGCGATGACGTCCCTGTCGATGCGTCCTAGACCGTTGGGACCCAGGCCGTCGGCTAGGACGCGGTTGCCGCCCGCGGCCTCGTTGACGATGGCGATGGCGTTGGTGGAGGATTCATTTTGCATGCGCGCGAGGAGGCGGTCGGGCCAACGGTTATTCGCGTTCGTCGTGGAGCCCCGTCCGTCACTGATGGAGTCGCCTACAATAGCGACGGCCGAGGCGCCCTTAGGAACCCAGCCCTCTAGAGCACTGATGAGGTACCAGTGATCCGTCGTCGTCGCGGTCGCGTTGGTCCCGTTGCCGGCGGTGGCAGCGAGGTCCTGGTCCGCGACGTGGTTCCCGCTCTTGAGGAAGGACGTGGTGCGGCTGCCCGGGTGGCCGGTGATGCTGTTCGTAGTCTGGCCGTCGGCGAGGTAGATCGTGATGGAGACGATGGACTGTGCTTCGACGGGGAGGTCGATCGGGTCTGAGAAGACGATGGCGCCGTTGGGCACGACGAAGCCGCCGCTTCCCGAGAAGGTGACGACTTGGAGGGAGTCGACGTCGACGCCACTGGTGCCGGCTGTGTTGTTCGCCGTCCGGGCAATGGTTACGGCTGTGATGGGGAGGTCTGAGCCGCCAAATGCGTTGCTGATTTGCAGGCGGAGGGTCGAGGTTGCGAGGGAGACTTTGACGGTTTGGCGGAGGGTTGCGTCATGGAAGACTCGACCTGTCTCGTTCTGGGCGGAAAGTTAGGGGACGACGCTTCTGATAAAAGCCATTGAAACTTTGGGAAGGGAGAAGAAGACTCACAAATGGCGCTGGGGGTAAGTTGGCCGGCTCGACCAGTTGAGGCATTGTTCCCCAGACGGTGACCCATTCGCTCTCATCCCGTGTAGGGTGCTGAGGGCGTGCTTCTGCCAGAGGCGAAAGGAAGAGCAAGGCCGTGAAGGCCGTCTTGAGGGAGGCGATCATCATCGCGACGAGCTACAGAGAAACGAGTGCTGGCTGCAGATGCACCTCTTTTGGGCCCCAATTAAAAGGGGGCCATCGTGAGCCTTATAAAGGCGCCCAGAGACGGAATTCGGTGCTTTCATTGCGTCGCCTGCCCCTCAATATAACATGGTTCTCCAATTGGAGATTTCATTGCAGCGCTCGCTATGTGGGCAGCCGGTGGGCAAGGGCGAGAGGGCATCCGGCAACGCGGAACCTGATGGATCGCTGGATAATGGCATGAAATGGGTTCAACCCGGTTGAAGTTCAGGCTAAATTCAAAGTTGTCGTGGGGAAATTTGGAGATCAGAGTTGAAGTGGGTGCTGCGGGAGATGAGATTGAGCAGTTCGTCCCATGCGATGCGACGCCGTCTCTCCAAGTCCCGCACTGGGGGGCCGGGGCCGCTGTCTTTCCCCGCATGGGTACACTCAATTGGTGCCGCCATGGCCTGGGGAAGATCTTGGGGTCGGCGACGAACGGAGGGAGGGGCCCGGAGAGGTGGGTTAGGTGGGCTAGGTTTATGAGACTTGGTCACGGGAGATAATGCAACTATGACGAGGATGGGAGCGTAGATCAATGATTGGCATTCCAATTGTACACAATGTGCACCTGTGTACAAGAAGAGGGGCGAGCGGCTCAAGTCCTCCAAGAAACGACCGTGGTTCATCCAAACAATTCCAACGTCAAATCAACCAAACGAACAAGTAGCGAGCGACAAGGAACGACATCCATCGACCCAGGTTTTAAACAGAAAGAAATGCCGAGCCATATGGATGGCGAACGAAAGAAGGAATCGAAGTGTGGCCATGATCAACCTTTTGCGATCTCTAGCTTCCTCGAAAACCTCGGCATGGTACAAGGAAAGGGAATCAAGGGAGGTGTAGATTGAGATGCAAAGTAGTCGGCAATTCGTAACGGATAAGAAGAAAAGCTAACAAGACCATCGCACTAGATGTCCAAGTGGATTGCCGCGGGAGCGGGACCGGCAGCCACGTCGGCCCAGTCACCGGCGCAAGTGATGAAAGCTTCGGAAGGATGGTTGGCCATGCCATACTCGTTCTCAAGGGTGTCTGTAGCTCTGCTAACGCGCGAGTGCGAGATGTGGACCTTCATGCTGTCCTTGGACGAGTTGTCCTTGATGTCGAAGCCACCAGGGCAGCCCTGGCCCCAAATCCACCGATAGGTGCTCACGGTACCAAGGGGCAACTGTGTATCGAGGAGGTTCATATTGTCTATGGTCAAAGCGGACCCAGGGACAACTGAAGTTGTAGCCGTGGCTATAGTAGCGAGTGAATTGATGACAGTGTCGTCTGATCCCGCTGTCTCCGAGGTAGTCCTGGAGGCAGCGACTTCGCTGTGAGAGATCATGTCGAAGTCGCCATCATCGTCAAGGTCCGAGGTGTATTTTAGCTCGGGGCCTGGCATGACGCGGGCAACCCGACGGTCAGCGAAGGAGGACGAGGGCTCGTTGGAGACCTTGTACTGCGGACTGCGATGTTCTGAGAAGTTGTCCACGGAAGGATGTTCCGGCGTGGCGCTGGGGAACGAAGGATGTGAGTGCATGTCGTCTTGATGAGCCATCATGGTGATGTGGGGAAGGGCGGAGAGGGAGGAGTGTATCGAGTGTGTATGAGCTCGGCGATTCAGCGACGCAAGCTGATGGTAGATGGGCGGAATAACGCTGTAACAGAGATGTTGTCAGCCTATGTCAAGAGACCGAGGGCAGGAGACATATGTTGCTCACCACAGATGCGGCAGGACTAGAACAGGCCCTGGAAAGACGAAGCAGAAGAGAGTAGAAGAAAAGTGATGGTAGGAAGCTGGTCAGCGTTCAGCTATAAGAAAGGCCTCAAGGTGCTTTCGTCTCAGAGAAGCAGTGTTGCCGTCCGTTCCAGGATAGCAACGGTGGTCAAGAAGTCTGATACCTGAACTGAGAGAACAGGATAGAATGGTAAGGTAGGTAGGTTATAAAGTTGTTGTACACAATAATATGTTTATTATACTGGGGAGTAAATGGGAGAAGGCGAGGAAAGATGGACGGCGGACGCTGAGTGCTTTATACAGAGTACGGGCGTCTGACCAAGTAGGTAAGGTAGGTCTGGAGGTAGGTTGTGACAAGTAGTGGCAGGTTGGGGTATGTGTCGACCGATGCCCGGAGTGAAAGGGTCAGCCAGACTTTTTTTCCCTCCTGAATTCCCCCCTTTCCGTTTTTGTTCTTCCCTTTGCTTTCCCCTCGGACCCTTCAGGCCCTCATCTCAGGTACATCGATCCCAGCGCCACTTGGCTGCACCGACGGGATGTGCAGCTCGCTGCATGATGGTGCTGCAGCGGGCATGTAGGCGTAGAAGGTGATGATGAAGCAAGGTGAGTGGGAACGGGGACGAGGAAAATGCCCGGAGGAGGGAACGTAAAGGAATTTGGGGGGGGCGGCTGGAGTTCCAAGTAACCAGGAAGACTTGGGCAAGGAGGATTGGAGTTGGACTGAGGTGCTAGAGAGTCCGATGCGGGGCACTAATGTGTGGTACTTTCCCACACGGTAAACTTGGTGTTCGAAAGCAGGAGCGTACGGTTACAGTGAGAACCTTGGACTTTCGCTTTTCGACATTTCATCATCTTTTTTTTTCTTTTTTTTTTCTTCAGCTGCTCCCTGCCCGCTCCAGACTTTTATAATTTGCGTCCACGAGTGATTCGTCACCTCCGGTCTAAGGTACCTAGGGTGTTGCGTACCTTAGGCGCCGATTCCCCTCACCAGGGAAGGTAGAAAGAACGTACCTTTCTCTGTTTCTCAACTGGCAAGAGGTTGAATTTGGCCTCAGGGTTGGGCTTGGGTTGGCGCCGGCGCCATGGCGTTGTTGCCGCGCATGCCACTGCCATGCCATGCCAGGCCCATGACACACTTCCGATCTCATACACATTGAACTTGTCTCCTCCTTCCACTTTACCCTTCTCAAGAGTTCTTTGCTGCTCGCCTCGTTTTTCCAATTTGGCTAGCAGCCCGAGTGCAGTACCTCAACGCTTTTACTAGCCCTTGTTTTCGCGTTTTCGGAGCAGATGCTTATGTTTGTCGTCGTCGCTCTAGCTTCTTTTGAGACCGACCAATAATTACCCCGCGTAGCTACTGGGACTTGTTCGTCGTGAGACATGACAGATGACAACCAAGACCGCCGCCAACATCAAACCTCGACAAAGTCCTGGCCTTCGCGGTCCAGAACCAGAATGGACCATCTGAGCGATGCAAAACGGGAAACCCAACGAACCGTTGCCAACCCGTCCGCCCCATTCTCAAATCGAGCTTAGACGCAAGCCACACGATGTGCAAATACACCTACAGACACGGATACTCTCTCAAAAGTCTGCGAAGTCTCGACATTCTTTCATGGCAGTGCCAAGCCACGCTGGCTCGCTGCTGGTGTTTTACCCCGGGGCGATGTCGCAAGCAACCTGGAAACAAGCATAACGTGCTTCTCCACCATCAGCCAATGTCTTGCAGAGCACTGCCCACGCTGGGTCTGCCAGCAGTGGTCAATTGGCTTGCACCATGTAACCGCAGTGCCCATGTGCCCCAAGAGATCGTCAAAATGACGCTCATCTACTCCGTACACAAGCTTTCTCACCGAAGAGGTGAGCCATACCTCCCGTACGGAAGCACATCGGACATCATCAAGAACAACCCGTCGATTTCCCCCGTACAAATCAGTACTGGGTAGTACACTATTAACATTTCTGGGTTCAAGGGGTTCGCGCGAATAGGCACCTTCGCTTTTGATAATCTCCCGCCGCTGTGTGACACAGCCCGCCGGCCACCCACCTGCAACACGATTGCACACAACGTTGCCCTATAGCCTGTTATCTGGACCATTATCAAATTCAATCTTCAAATCACGTTTGCGCACCTTGGCCTTTCACCGATCGCAAGGCCGGATAGGAGCCCCCCGGCCCAATCACCCACTCTCGACGAGTACAAGATTGCCGAGCAAGATTTACCTGAGCTCGTTAGGTTGCGCGGTTACTTTCGGCCTGGGATTCCCCAGGTGAGTATCATATGTCACTACTCGGCGCCATCATTGGTTCGATACCGAAACTTTATTAGCGAAACAATGACATCTTTGTTCCGCGCGGAACCCTCTCCTACGGTTGTGTGCCGGCGGCCAGCCAGCCGGCTCAGGACCTCTCACGTCTCGCAGCAACTTATCTGGCCATCCCAGTATCTTCGTCGGATCTTGGGCTGTGACTCAGATTTGCACTACTGTGTATCCGTAGGCTCAGACATTTTGGCGCTCTGCCATCTGATGTCTCGCATGTCTGTCAGTCACCGTACAGGGCCCGACGTCGGGGATGGACTCCGATCAGCAACCTGCCATCATACTGGTCCTGCATTGCATCAGCAGCAATGCCAGCACACGCAACAGCAACATTTCAGCTGCATTTGATGGTTGGACCAGTAAAGAGACAGGGCCCAGCGACGTCACTACACTAAACCCGAGTGCTAGACATTACCCCCGGCCTGTGTCATTTGTCCCCGGGCAGCCAACCATTCTGCCGGTTGTTTCCCCGTCTTCAATGCGTTCAAGCTCCCCACAGTCGGTGTCGCCGGCAGCATGCCTATGGGGAGCAGTACCGGTGCAGGAAGAGCATGCAAGCTTACACACCACGAACCACCCTTAGAGCCAGGCTATATCAGTCTGCTATAGGTACGATAGCATCCAAGGCCCGAGGGGGCATTATTGAGTAAATAGGAGCCTTCGAGAGCACCACGGGGCGCAACACCGACTGCTATGGGAAAGATCTTCGATGCTGTCCTTCTCACATGACGGCACAGAGCCCGGACAGCACCGAACGGCAGCTTCTAGCCCCGGAACCACAATTCTCGGGCGCGAGTCCTGGACTCTGTCCTATTTTGCGATATGGGACCCAAGACACATGCAGGACTCCCGACTAAGTCCTACACGTTGCAACGCTGTATTTGGCATTACACCGACCACCTTGTCGGATTGTCCAGCTGCTCCCAAATGACGCTCCAAGAGAGTGGACGACGTGTCTGACCCGGCTCCTTGAATTTGATGTGCTTTTGAGCAGCCCGGAATACTTCCCCGAACCCCTTGGCATGCAACGATGAACATGGCATGAGGATCGAGGACCGTCAACCGCCAACCAGCACCCTGCGAACAGCCAACGCCCTGCTTGGGAAGGAGAAGATTCACGCACTATCCGCGGCCCTGTGACCTCTGCGCGAAATATCTACCTACCCTGCCTCGAAAGTCGTTGTGCCGATTCATCCAGGGAAAAGGGCCGCCAAGACCTCAAGGATCCCCGATTATGTTTGACCAGCCCATCGCTGCCAGCCCTGCCCACCAATTCTAGCGTTGGTCCTCAGGGGCCCCATATCGAACTTCGAGAAGGCTTCTAGCGTGCTGATCTCTCCTGCGCCCCTGCCGGCCGCGGCACCGCCCAAGACATGCATACCGTCACTTCCTCCTTCACTGGATATCCCGCCAGCCCGCCAGCCCCCTTTCCCAATCGTGCATGCTCTCGTACCTGTATCTGCTTGCTGGCCCTGTAGGATGTGGCCCTTCCATGCATGACGACTTGACGGGGAACCTTCGCCTGGCCATCCGGACCATTGGTAAGGCTCACAAGCGTCGAGGGGGACAACTGCAACTCTGATGAGGGATAAATGGGCATGCAAGCACCTGCACGGCGAGGGCGCGCGGCAAGGCGTTCACGGTTCCGCCCTTACTTATGCTTCACACTCTTAATGTGCGTTCATCAGGTGCCCACTCGTTCGGTCTCCAAATTTGGCATCATGTAGGTATGGATACAAAACAAAAAAAAAGGCTCTCGTGAATTTGGGTCATCAGACTCGTCACTGGACGCGTCTCTTCGTCATACAAGCTATGGACACCTATCGCACCTCCCCTCATCCCGGCCGAGCTGAACCTCCTGCATCTCCTACACCTCGCGGAGCCCACCTCCAGCGTCTGACCAACAACCCAATGAAGCAAGCTTCGAGAACATCTTCTCCTCGATCATTACCGATGCGATGCGTACTCCCCGTGTCTGCACAACCCTGCGCAGTACACGCATAGCCTCGAGAACACCGTGTCGTTTGTTGAAGCTTGCATGGCCGCCCCGCCTAAGCCAACCAGAACCTGCTTGTATCTGTACATAAGCCGCCCCCAGCTGCGATGCCGCCTTGTGGAGAGGGTAAGCTTGCGTGCATCTGGTCTCAACGTGGGCGTTGCATGCTCCAGGATCATATTGGATTGCTCAATTCGTAGCTCCCTTGTCGTCTCCCGTGACCAGCTGCGGTTCACAGCCTGCTTGTGGTCGACGCTATCAATATGCGGCCCCAAGACTACTAGCCCTCCGTTCCTTGTTGTTGATGTCCATCGATGCTGCTGCCGCCGTTGAACCCTTCCTCCTGAGCCCGCCCGCCTTTAACCTCCGGACAGTTTGATAGGACCTGTCCAGCTCGTTTTCAACCGCGCAACGAATACGAAGCGCAGCGACGGCGGGCCATACGCTCCGCTCCCCTCTCGAGATCCAGTAGTCCAGTGTTTCCCTAGTAGGCGTCTCGAGTAGGCGCACAAAGTCGCCAGCAGTCACTTCTGGGACCAATGTCATGGACGCGCCTGGTACTTGTTCGTCGACGAGGAAGCGCCGGATACCTGCCGGAAGGAGGCGTAATGTGTCGAGCTGGCGCAGCCGGTGTCTGAGCTCCAGCCCGACCATACGAGCTAGGAATGCTGTAATTGACGTCGTGCTGTTACGCGTCTCCATGAGTGATGGGCCATGCATGTCGCTCTGCAGGAACGGAATAAGGTAAGGTCGAGCCTGGCTGACGATGAAGTGGTTGACGT